AATCTTCATTGATTTCTGCTACTTCCGTTTCCGTCATGTGTGTCAAAGGTTTATACTTCCGGGGCAAGCTTCAAAACGGACCCACCCAAACACAGAATTGTTGAGGATTTTCTGCTGCATTGTGTGGTTTTCGAGCGAACAGACTGTTGCAAAGTGAAAACAATATAATTCACTGTGAGTCGACACCATTTTGCCTGCCATCGCCGGTGACAAAACAGGATACATCATCGACAGCGGAGCAACACAACCTTTCTGTTGCAAGGGAGCAACAGCAACACAAACTACGGTTGAATCATAAATCGGTCTGAAGTGCTATCCACAATACTATACACATTGTTATCCGAGTAAAAAGTACGCTCCCCTGATCTAAATAGAATTTGCTGACAATCACATCATGAGTGAAAAAAGCAAGTTAATTTCCCGATGGCGAGGAACGTTCACAAAAGGGACCGATTTTGACTCGTGGGGGCAGCTGGTGGAAGCAGTCGACGAATACCGAATGTAAGCAAGCCATATATTGTCATTGTTATACATTAAATTATTTAAAATGGTTTACATAGTCACATTTAAACTTCACTGTTAGAATATAACGTAACATATTATATTTTGGATATTATTGTTTATAACCACCCTTACATTTTTCGGAGATATTATTTTTAACGTTCTTCAGTGCAATTGTTCCATTCAAGTAGTGTAGAAATTAAATAAAAATATAATCCAATCAGAAGAATTTTCACCTACCATAGACCATTTATTAAATTAATTGTGCATGTCCCTCCTAAGGACACCTATTTGAATTGGGGGCAGTGAGCTCATTGTTATGGTCCATACATGTCCCAGGGCCTTTAAGGTCAACCATTCAATTCACCTTAGCCCTTGAGGAATATGTTTGGTACTTTATTTTTGACTTCTTTAGGAAAACTGCATGTTGATATTTAGTACATAGGCACAACAGGTGGATGTCTCTCAGATTTGATAATTCTGTGATAATAACTCTAATTAAATAATTTATGGTAAAACATTCTAGATAACTGTAAGTCTGATTTTCTTTGATATTTAATGTACACTTTTTTTAGGTGGAGAAGAATATTTTTTGTCATTTTGGGCTTCCGCTTTGTGTATCTCAAAAGATTTTTGTTCATCGTCTTGTTTAAATACGCTATTCTTAATTATGTTAATTATAAATATCTCCTACATCCATGCCTTCAATTCACTGTGCACATAGCACTTGTTTATTATGCTGTGGTACAGATAGCCTGAAAAATGTGCATCACTAACAGCAGAGCTATATCAGTCAACAGGTATAGGTATATCAGTGAATTCTCAACAGATGCCCTCGATGTACAAACTTGCTTCACATTATTCTTCTGTGCAAAATGTTATAGTATACATGTACCATGCATACTGTGCAATGGTTTGTTATTGCTATTATACTGAGATGGTTGAGGGATAAACTTACTTTGACCGGAAAAAGCGACCCAACCAGCAGTGTTTTACTAACAAATTAAAATAGCAAATAACTGCTACATTTGAGCTATCATTATTGCTATTTTGTTTGCATAAATATTAGAAACAGCATATTCTATAAAGTTTGTGACCATGTGATTATAGATTTTCAATTCAAAACATTTTAATTAATGAACTGTGAATGCATTAATTATTCACTTGGTTTTAATTTCGCTATTTTTCCTGATAAGTAAAACCAGTTAAATTAAATCTACATGAACATGTAAAACAACAATAAAACTCATTTCTTTTCTGAAAAATTCGTGAAATTAAACACAGTAAATTTGCTTAAAACATCAAAATAGTGAAATTAAATGTCATTGAAAATAAATAGTTTTACAGAATCTAACTTTTGTTAAAACTAAACGAGCCTATTATTCACTCTCAAACTGAGTATTAATCATACATGTACACTATAAATTAATTCAGAAACTATTTACCTGGTCACATGACCAATAATTTACCTATCAAATTTCATTGCATAACAGATTATTCAAATAAGTCTGCAATAGTTATGACCAATTATAGCTTGTTGGTTTGATTTGAATAAAATGATTTATAAATATAATGTTTAAAATTTGTTGGCCAAGTTTTGTAGGAATCATATGTTACCTTATTGCCATAGCAATTGTAGATTGTTAATCAAAAGGAAGTGTGTCACCATATTCTCTATTTTATTCAGGGTGTCTAGGCAGTTGCACAAAGAAGCAGCATCAAGTACAAGTCCCTTTACAGATGACCAAAAGGTGAGTTTTTCTTTAGATTGTGTTAACCATATTCTGCATTGAAGTTGACTTGACCAGATAAAAGTTGAAGTAGCTGTACATTACAATGCTTATTCTATTTTTTTCATCAACAAAGTTAAACAATCTGTTAATTACATTTAGTTTCACAAAGGCATGGATGTTTTATATATATAGAATAATTATAAATGTTTTATGAATTTCAAATGATTGAAAACAACTTGCTCAATCACAAAGCTTTAGCGGGTACATACCGACCATATAGAATATATTTTTTAAATGCATAGCAATAAATTTCCCAAAGATTGAAGGAAACTCACAAAGACTGATGGATAATGAGAGTTACTAAACTAAGGCTAAGCCAAGGAAAACATCTTCTTAAAAAATTTGAATGAAGCTGATGAGGGTTTTCATGGTAAATGTTTTATAAATATTTTATTAATTTTTTTAAAAGTTATTCATGCATTCATGAAACAGAGCATATGTATGGAAACAGGTTTCTCTTATTTAGGAAGGTTATTAATCTGTTTTATTTGTAGTTGTAATAATTTGTGTGCATCATATGAATCTCATACTCGGTTTGTTTTCTAGTTGTATTTTTGGTAGTTTTTCATGTCTGCCTTCTTTTTTTAATAGCTCAGTTATGATTCACATTAAATCTGATTAAAATAAGATCCTAGTTGGCTTAATTTTTTAAATTTTTATTTTAATATGTTTTTATTATTAATTTCAATTATTATTTGTATGATTATATGATTTGCATATTAATTAATTAGCCAATTTTATGCTTTTTTACCTGTATCTCAAGAACCACCCAAAAATTTTTAATGAACCTTGATACGTAGATGATCTGAGATAATCCATATGCCTGGTTAGTTTTTGTTTCAATCTGTGCATATCAATCAACTAATATGCATAAATTAGCCGGTTTTTATTTTTATACACATATATCTCAAAACTATTTTTGATTTCACAATTTGATACATTGGTGCTCTGGGGTAATCCACAGAGGTGATTAGTTCAGGGTTAAAATCCATGCATATTAATAATTTTTTTAATTTGCAAAATTCCCAGGTATCTCAATAATTATTTGTATACAATTATAAACTTCAATATGTGAAACAGATTGCTTTCACATTGTGTATCTCAAAAATCAGATCTTTATTAGTTTCCAGGTTTTTTGTTCAAAAGACTAAACCGACATTTTTGATTAATTAAAATATTTTCAAATTATCATTAAATTATATTAATTCAATTATTTCTGCTACATATGCCTCAAATACACATGGGAGTTTTTTCTAATCATTTTTAGCTCTGCTGTCGACTTTGTTGAGCGGAGCTTATCATATGAGTGATTGTCCGGCGGCGTCCGTGTCAGTGTTTTACTTTTTCGACTTCTTCTTGAAAACTACAAGCCTGAATGCTTTGATACTATATGTATGTATATGTACCTTGGGTAGACCTCTCTCAGATTTGTTCATTTCATGATCATATCTTCAATTCTCTAATTTTGGTGAATATTTTTGTCATTTTTGGTAAAAAGTGATATTTTCGACTTCTCGTTAAAAACCACAAGTCCAATTACTTTGATATTTACATATATAGGTACTACATGTGGATCTCTCTCAGATTTGTTCATTTTGTAATGATATCTTTAGTTCTCTAATTTTGGTGAATATTTTTGTCATTTTTGGTAAAAAGTGATATTTTTGACTTCTTGTTAAAAACCACAAGTCTAATTGCTTTGATATTACATATATAGGTACTACATGTGGACCTCTTTCAGATTTGTTCATTTTGTAATGATATCTTTAATTCTCTAATTTTGGTGAATATTTTTGTCATTTTTGGTAAAAAGTGATATTTTCGACCTCTTGTTAAAAACCACAAGTCTAATTGCTTTGATATTACATATATAGGTACTACGGTACATGTGGACCACTCTCAAATTTGTTCATTTTGTAATGATATCGTCAATTCTCTAATTTTGGTGAATATTTTTGTCATTTTTGGTAAAAAGTGATATTTTCGACTTCTTGTTAAAAACGACAAGTCGAATTGCTTTGATATTATTACATATATAGGTACTACATGTGGACCTCTCTCAGATTTGTTCATTTTGTAATGATATCTTTAATTATCTAATTTTGGTGAATATTTTTGTCATTTTTGGTAAAAAGTGATATTTTCGACTTCTTGTTAAAAACCACAAGTCGAATTGCTTTGATATTATTACATATATAGGTACTACATGTGGACCGCTCTCAGATTTGTTCATTTTGTAATGATATCTTTAATTATCTAATTTTGGTGAATATTTTTGTCATTTTTGGTAAAAAGTGATATTTTCTTCTTGTTGAATACCATTGATACTATATGTATTGTTCATTTTCTAATGATATCTTCTGTTGTTTAATTGAAATGTGCATTGCTGGAGCTATCTCAGCCGAGAGGCTGCTTGTTTGTTTATTCCATGCATTAAGCGACTCCTTTGTAATTTCCACATTTTTAGCTAGTAAATAAATCCAGTATGGAGAAAATTGTCACATGTAATTTGTAAGCACAGGTTTTGATTGATGCTTTGGTGCAATAATGTTTTTAAAAAAATTTAATTTTTGTTCATAAAAATTTCAAATATGATGGTACAATTTACTAATGTCAATTCACTAAATTTTAATAAATATTTATAAATGTAAATTCAAAGTGTACTGACTTATGTTTGATGATTGACATTTTACTGCATTTCAATATTCGTCTTAAGGTATCCTGGACGAGTGTTATTAAATTATGATCAATAAAATGGGTTTCAATTGTTATTGAGTTAGATGTTTTATAAATTAACTGCAAACCTCATCCACAAAGTTAATCTCAAAAACGATTGTAACTTTAATAATGATTTGATGTATTTGTTGATTCAGAAAAACTTATCCAAGATTGCTACATGCTTAGAACTGAGAAGTAGAGCATTACAGGTAAGTGTATATGGGTTGGATGGGCATGCAGCATCAGTGCATGTACATGTGGGTTGTGCATCCTGTATGCATAGATTGTTTGGATAATGCAGTATGAACTTATATAGGGTTGTAAGATTCATGAAGTACCGTAGTAGTCAGAGTATATACCCCTGCTCAAGTATAAGCCCCCCCCCCCTCTCAAATTTACAGCATTTTAGAACAGGTCATTTATCTGAGCGTGTTTATTGTGACTAGCGTGAATGGGTAAGCTCGTTTCGACAATGAGCTGTAATCACTGTAAACAATGTTAAATTATTCTTCTAATGCTCAGCGCCATCCCTCAACACCTGAGGGGCGATGTGCTCAGTTTATTTTTTGAAAACAACTATTTTGTTATTTGAAAAAAAAACATGTACCGATAGTTTTCCCATCGGAATCCAAGCCAAAAGATCATACTACAACATCGGCAAATCTCTTCTGCGTTGCATTCAATAACATTAACATATTTAGCTATGGTAATTTGAACATGTTGGCATCATCCAGCATTTTGTTTGGTTAATTAGCGTTTTGACCTATTAGGTCAACATGTGCAAGATAAAGAACATGGCGGATACCTGACAGCATCGAGCGTTTATATGCGACCAGAATCATTTGCTTATGATGAAACTAAGTTGAATTTTATTTGCATTTCATAACAATTCAACAAATTTTTTTTTATGATATTATAATCACTACTATTATATTATAGCATTGTCAATACCAGCAAATTTTATGACGTCATTGCCACAGATTATTCGCGATAATGTTTTGCATTATTGAGCATCAAGGCCCCTTACCATGCATAGGGCTAGAATGTTGAGTTCAGAAAACAATAAAGAGACAGGCATTAAATAATAAGGGAAATTATGGGGTGAAAAGGATTAAAATAAAAACTGAAAATGAATAACTCTGAGCTATATGAAAAAATAATTCTTTGTTTTTAGTTTACATGAAAAATGTCATTCTCGCCATAAAGACAAACACAAATTGTCTTCTGGGCAATCCCAACTTTGCACAAAAACACCAATGTCCAATGCGTAAATAAACGTAGCTCACCAAAGGCATACACAATGGCCCGTTTTATCGATGTCGACGAATCCCACTTAAATGTGCTCAAAAATGCAAGAAATGAAAAAAAATACTTCACAGCAGACTAAATGGGGAGTACATGTTTTCTTCCTAGAATGGCTTGAAAACAAGGGGCATGCGCCACCAATTTTGAAGACCTTACTGTTGTTGAGCTCGCCGATTTGCTGCGTGAATTTTACGCTTCAGCTCGTAAGCAAGATTGGGTGCAGTACAACAAGCCGTCGCTGTCTGGTTTACGAGCTTCAATCAATCGACACATCTCTGGTCCTCTCGATCATCGCAAAATTAACATCATGTAGATTAGGGAGTTCCAAGTTTGTCTATTTTTTGTATATGTGTTATGTTGAAATGGCCGTTGCACACTGTATTGTGCTTGTGTTTGTGAATGGGAATCGTTGCGGGAACCCGTTGATGTTATATAGTGTATACAGATGACAAAGCCCATATATTAAATGTAGACGCGATTCTGTTGAATGTTTTCGGTCGTTTCATACAAATTATCTTTATTTTTAACGTGTGACAATTCACTGGCATTGCCAATGCAACAAAATAATAACACTAATGTACTCTCTGGTGGCTCATAATGAACTCAAGCACACTTTGCACTCCATAATGTCGTGCAAAGTGTGCATTCGTTCAACAATTGTGAAATGCAGCATGACCGGATTGCGCAACTGTGATCATTTGCTGCTATGCAATGCAGTTGTGTTATTTTTTTTTTTAAACTTTGTTTAGAATATACTTTCGTTACCCCAAAACGTACAGACAAATATTCACGTGAAACGCAGGGTCTAATGCTGTTCCACTTAGTAAACACACCCAAAAGTGATTAGTGACCCCGGGGCGTAATGGCCGATCCTCAAGTTAATTTGGACGATGCTAGTCGATGAAGACACTTTAGTATCGTATACACAACGATTTGTTTATGAATAAATTAGCATAAATTATTGCTCGGGAGAAGTTTTAACTTTTATTCGTTTATAAGCCCCTCCCTCCTAATTTTTTGTCAATTTGCTGTTTTCCCGGAGGGGTTTATACTCGGACAACTACGGTATGTATACATGGGTTGGACGGGTTTTGTATACATATAGTAGATGAATACTCGCTTTGGATACATTATTCATACATGTGTAGATGTTTTATGCGGTATGCATACATGGGTTGGATGGGTTATCCAGCAATCATACATGGGTTGGATGGGTTATCCAGCAATCATACATGAGTTAGATGGGTTATCCAGCAATCATACATGGGTTGGATGGGTTATCCAGCAATCATACATGAGTTAGATGGATTATGCAGCAATCATACATGGGTTGGATGGGTTATGCAGCAATCGTACATGGGTGGGGTGGGTTATGCAGCAATCATACATGAGTTGGATGGGTTATGCAGCGATCATACATGGGTTGGATGGGTTATGCAGCAATCATACATGAGCTGGACGGGTTATGCAACATGCATACATGGGTTGGATGAATTATGCAGCAATCATACATGAGTTGGATGGGTTATGCAGCAATCATACATGGGTGGGGTGGGTTATGCAGCAATCATACATGAGCTGGGCGGGTTATGCAATATGCATACATGGGTTGGATGGATTATGCAGCAATCATACATGAGTTGGATGGGTTATGCAGCAATCATACATGGATGGGGTGGGTTATGCAGCAATCATACACGAGTTGGATGGGTTATGCAGCGACCATACATGGGTTGGATGGGTTATGCAGCAATCATACAAGAGCTGGACGGGTTATGCAATATGCATACATGGGTTGGATGGATTATGCAGCAATCATACATGAGTTGGATGGGTTATGCAGCAATCATACATGAGCTGGACGGTTATGCAATATGCATACATGGGTTGGATGGGTTATGCAGCAATCATACATGGGTTGGATGGGTTATGCAGCAATCATACATGGGTTGGATGGATTATGCAGCAATCATACATGGGTTGGATGGGCTATGCAGCAATCATACATGGGTTGGATGGGTTATGCAACAATCATACATGGGTTGGATGGATTATGCAGCAATCATACATGGGTTGGATGGGTTATGCAGCAATCATACATGGGTTGGATGGGTTATGCAGCAATCATACATGGGTTGGATGGATTGTGCAGCAATCATACATGGGTTGGATGGGTTGTGCAGCAATCATACATGGGTTGGATGGGTTATGCAGCAATCATACATGGGTTGGATGGATTATGCAGCAATCATACATGAGTTGGATGGGTTGTGCAGCAATCATACATGGGTTGGATGGGTTGTTCATCCTGTATGCATTGGTTGGGTTATGCAAACATGATTAGATTGGTTGAATGGGTTATATGCCTACATTGGATGCTTTTTAAAAAGAAAAACATTATGCATCATTTCTGTAATGAACTGTGACTGAATAATAAATAGTGCTAATAAAAGTTTGGAAAAGTCTACACCTTATGGTCTAGATGATTGTTTTACGCGATGTTTCGAAACTGCATACCATGGTTTTTGTGTTTGTTGGTATATAAAGCCTAAATTAGTGTTAAACCATAGGTCCAGGACCAAAAATATAAGATGGCCAACATTTTGAAGAACCAAAAACAGCATAATTTAATGATTGGTCAAAAATTTCAGAAGCTAATAAATTATTAAAATCTGTTGAATAATTGTGCGGTTGAATTTTTAGTTGGCCACAAGTTTTTACAGGACGGTTTATGAGAACTGGAATACAATCCAATGTAGAAATTAAATTACAATTTATTGCATTTGCAGTCGCCTCATTCAGTTGATGGATTTACTTTGGAACAATTGAAGAGAGTAGAACCAGGTATTGTAATTGTTTATACTTTTGTTACATTCACTAATCAAACTATCAGTGCATCTAGCATCGTTGCTATTCAACTATTACAAACTGCTGCCCAAATCACTATTCAAATTATTACAAACTGCTGCCCAAATCACTATTCAAATTATTACAAACTACTACCCAAACTGCTATTCAAATTATTACAAACTGCTGCCCAAATTGCTATTCAGATTATTACAAACTGCCGCCCAAGTTACTATTCAAATTATTACAAGCTACTGCCCAAATCACTATTCAAATTATTACAAACTGCTGCCCAAATCGCTATTCAAATTATTACAAACTGCTGCCTAAATTGCTATTCAAATTATTACAAACTGCTGCCCTAATCACTATTCAAACTATTACAAACGGCTTAGTCTTTTCCACGAAACGAAATGAAACGAAACGAAACCCAAACCCTAACCCTAACCCTAACCCTAACTCGCATTTTTTTTTCATTGGCCCAATAATATCTGAGAAAATTTCACACTGAAATACGGACGTGACGATGTTTGAGGTCGTTCAAAATCTAAGGTTAGGGTTAGGGTTTCGTTTCGTTTCGTTTTATTTTGTTTCATTTCATTTCGTGGAAAAGACTAAGCCATTACAAACTGCTGCCCAAATAATTATTCAAACTATTACAAACTGCTGCCCCAATCACTATTCAAACTATTACAAACTGCTGCCCAAATCATTATTAAAACTATTACAAACTGCTGCCCAAATCACTATTCAAACTATTACAAAATGCTGCCCAAATCACTATTCAAACTATTACAAACTACTGCCCAAGTTGCTATTCAAATTATTACAAACTGCTGCCCAACCTACCGGTACTATTCAAACTATTGCAAAACTGATGCCCCAATCACTATTCAAACTATTGCAAACTGATGCCCCAATCACTATTCAAACTATTACAAACTGCTGCCCAAATCATTATTAAAACTATTACAACTGCTGCCCAAATCACTATTCAAACTATTACAAATTGCTGCCCAAATCACTATTCAAACTATTACAAACTGTTGCCCAAATCGCTATTCAAACTATTACAAACTGATGCCCTAATCCTATTCAAATTATACAAACTGCTGCC